GTGGGTGGGGGGGGGGTATTGGGTCAGCAAAGGCTAATGAGGAGCTAATTTACTGATTCTGTCACTTTTTCGCTGCTATTAGCCGAGATCTGTTGCACTGTTTTGGCTGGGAGGGATGCGACCTGACTCCTACTATGACTGCTACTCGTGTGTGTGCGTTTGTGTGTGTGTGTGTGTGTGTCTGTGTGTGTGCGCGTACGAGTGGTGGGCTGCCTGCCTGTGTTTAGTTTGGCTTGGCTTCACACGGCCGCTTGGCAGCACCAAGCTGGACAGCTTAGCAGCTTGGATGGGGAGACGAGAGCGCAAGATAGAAGGAGGCGGCGGGTGGGTGAGGGGTATTTGGGGGCGGGGGGGTGCTTTGAGGACTACACTTTTTTTTTGGGCACACACACACACACAACACTCACACAACAGTCACACAAGCACACGCAGTGTATTTACAAGCCCCCAAGGACTTGGCAGCTGTATAATCTGATCGCCAAACAAGGATCAATACGCCAAATCGTCGCGAGAGACGTCTTGATTTGTTGTTGTTGTTGTTTTGTTTGTTTTGTTTTTTTTTGCTATTCCATCCGTCAGCGCATGTATACGAGCCAGCGCAATAAATAAGTCGTGCTTCCCGCCGCGCCTCCCCTCCCTCACCCCCCCTCAGCCGCCACAACTGCAACGCATTTGCATCTTGTCATAACTTAGCCCGCCGCGCCATATGCCGTTAAGGGAGGCGTGTCGGCTAATAGAATGACAGCTGATGGCTGCTGCCTAATGACCACCAAAGACACATTTCATCAACTTCCCGAACAAGCCAGAAAAACGGGGGGGAGGGGGGGGGAGCCGGAGCGAGAAAGTAGCACTCGATAGCGAAGCTTGTTTTTGCGACGTCACCTTTCAGCGAGGCCGCTCTGTTTATGGATTTATTGAAGCAAATTTGTGTTTTGCTGCTTCGTGTGTATTCAAGTCGCTGTTTGAAGATTATCATCGCATTGATGCTAAATTACCGTTTGGGGTGCTTCGCATTTTTTTGGTCTCTGGTTTCATGTATCGGTGGGACATCAACTCAAGAGTGACAACAGCTTGTAGCAAGCACACTTGGTCTCTTTTTTTTTTTGAAGAAAACTGTGCCAGCCACCGTTTCACTCACAGCTCAAAGTTAAAATGTTTCCTTTTTTTTTTTTTGTTTGTTGTTTTTCTGTGTGTGTGTGTGTGTGTGTGTGTGTGTGTGTAAATAAGAGATGAAAAACACGATTGACAAAGTTGGTTTGTTTCTGTCTAGGCTGCATCACTTCCTGTGCCGACAGCAGTACGACGCGAGGCATGCGCTGCAGCCATGTGCCCCCCAATTTCTGCCATCTTGGTTTCGCGCAACGATGGAAACGTGGTGAGTCTCTTTTTATTGCATATTATTCCGCTCTGCTGTGTAGCCTTAATTACATTCGATGTTAAAATAGATGGACGAAAAGCAAAATCTGAAAAAGTAAAAATAACATTAACCACCCCCC